CGGCTACTCTGAGTGTGGGCTGCAGACAGCTCAGAGTAACCTACTTATTCAAAGAATTGCTCTCAACCCAAAAGGAGCCACCTCCCCTGGCTGGGGCTGAAACTTAGAGTGACCAATTGACTTTGCCGGTCTGCCCAGGACGGAGGGGTTTCCCAGGAAATGGCACTTCCAGTGCTAAATTCAGGAGGGTCCTGGGCAAACCAGGATGATGGGTTACCCTAATGGGGTACCAAAGGCCTCTTGCCCAAGGATGGGATCATCTCTGTGGGGCAGTTCATGCCCCCGAGCTCCCGGTGGGACCAGGCTGAGGCTGGGCTCCAGCTGAGACCAACACCCTCACTGGCTCCTTCCCTGCCTGCCCTCGCCTGCCTCCCTCCCTCCCCTTCTCAGCAAACCATCAAGGGGACCCGAATCCTATCCTCTGCTCTGCTTCTTGGAAACTCAAACTGCAGCACAGCAAGGCCAGAGGCAGGAAGCCCTGCTCGGAGGCTGCTGCAGAGCCCGGCGGGAGTGAACAGAGGCCTGAGTTAAGGCACCTCCGGAAGAGCTGAAGTGGGAGAAGAGAAGACAGCTTCAGGAATACTTGGAGTTTTTCTCTCCATCCTCTGAGGCAATGGGTCAACTCTATGGCACGGTTTATGCTCCGAAGGCCCCTATAAATCAGGCTAGACTTTCCCTCCTCTCTTCTGCTTCGCTTCCTCTCTTCCAAGTTTCTCTCCAGAGTGGTCCCTAGATAAACCATGTGCATCCGAATCCTTGTCTCAGGCTCTGCTTCTAAAGAACCTGATCTAAGACCACATCGATGTACCTGTGGTCCTCCTTCCAGTGGGGGCGCTGCAGGGAGCAACCTGTATGTCCAGTACTCTGCTGTGCACACAGGACCGGCACCGTGCAAGGGCCAGCTTGGTGCTCAGGAGGCCTTGTCAAACCTCGACGGCACAGCTCTCAAGGCACTGAAGTCCCCGGTGCTTCTGCATCGCCAGGCCTGTGGCCACTGGACCCTTAATGCTGCTGCTTTTAGAAAGTGGCATTGGGGTGGAGTGGAGTGACAATGAGCTTCGAGTCAGGGGCTCACGCATGAATCCTGGTCCGGCCACCCTGCGGCTGGGCCACTTTGCACGACTGACTTAAACACTCTGCCTAATTTTTTTCATCTATAAAATGGGAGTAATCATCAGACCTACCTCAAGGGGTTGTTGGAGGATTACATGAGTTAATTTATGCAGAGCAGTTAGAAAAGCACCTGTTTAGTGAGTGCTCAATAAATGTTAGCTATCACTACAATAGTAATTATATAATAACAATGGTTCTGTAATAATTAAATCATAAATAGGAATAATAATTTGCAATAGAATTCCTGCTCTCAGGTTCCTGCCACCCTGGCCTCCTTTCAGGGCCTAGACCAGCATTTCTCAACCCCAACGCTGTTGGCAATTGGGGCTGGGCTATCCTGTGCATTGCAGGATGTTCATCAGCATCTCTGGCCTCACCCCCTGGAGGCCAGTAGCTCCCCTCCTTCCTCTGTTTTGACAACTGAAAGTTGCCTAAGGTCCTCCGTGGGACAAAACCACCCTGAGTTGAGAACCACAGGCCTAGAACATGCCAGAAAAGTCCATCCCCCTCATTATTTGCTTAATAATGGCTCCTCCTCCAGGCAGCCCTCTCTGACCACCTCATCCTCCCGACTCCACTCATGGCATGTTTCTTTCGTGGCTTTTATCACAATTTGCCATTATTACTTTTCTTAGTCTGTTGAATGCTGTCCATCCCTCTTGCTGGAGGTGGGATCCTCTGGAGCAGGAGCCACATCTAACTCAATCGCTGATCTGTCCCTGGGACCAAGCACGGGATGGGTGCAGAGTGGACCTCGGTCACTGTGTGTCCTGAATGAATAGACCAGCTGGCTTACCTAGTGGACAGGCTGCCCACAGCCACAGGGACGCTTACCTTCTGGACCGTGAAGGTGCGTATGACGTATTCTGCCAGGGGCTCTGTTTCAATCAGGGTGACTTTAATGTCGCCGTAGACCTCCGTGTCATCCGGCCAGTATCGCACACACTTCACCTGCGAGGAAGGACAGAGAGGAGGACAGGTGAGCAGGTGGCTGGGTGTGAGCAGCCGCCTCACCTGGCTTTCCCATTCAAATAAACCCAAGGGTGACTTTGGTGACATTTCGGTCGGAAGGGTCGGCTGGCCAGGGGTCGGCAACGTGCACAGGGCCAAGCTCACTCCCAGAGGAATTGGAGCCCTTAGGAATAATGGTAGTACCTTCATTTTCAAATCCATTATCAAATAGATCTAGGCAAGCTAGGCAGATGGAGTTCCCCGTGTTACAGATGAAATTAATACTCAAGTTTGGAGGTTTTGGTGGCTTGTCCTAGGTCACGTGGCCAGTTTTCTACCTTTGGCTGAATGGTCTGTCAGGCTGGGGCAGCTGATACCAGCAGAGCAGAGATGAGAATAAAAGGAGGGAAACAGTGAAGAGGGAAAGCAGAAGTGGTCGGAGAGGAACATCACTCTTCAGAGCGGGTAACCAGGGGCTGCGAGGACAAGGCTCTCTGTTGGGGAAGGATGGAAGGTGCTGGGCTCAAAGGGAGGACGCTGCCACTGCTCTCTGCTACCAACAAGCCATTCCCACATGTGACTGAGTCACACTCCACAGGAGGAACAAGAGATCATGGTTTTCCCCTTAAAAGAACAAAAGCATTACCATTCCGGGGGACGCCGCACGGCCTAGAGTGGCATTTCCCACAGTGTGTTCCGCTGGGTGCTAATAGGTGTTAGGTAAAAAACAAGAAAACAAAAACAAACAGAAAAGGTTTTGTGGTCAAATGAGTTTGGGAAATGCTGGATTAAACAAAGTTAAACAGGCTGTTTTGCTACAGGACTACTCAGCTGGCTTAATGGACTAATGCTAATGTTTTCTTTTCTTCTTCTTCTGTTTGACTCTCCAAAAGGGGGCAAAGAGTATGGAGCATTTCCCAAACGTATTTAACCATGGAACCCTCTTCTCACTAAGCATCCTGCAGACTAGCATCCCATGGAACCCACTTAGGGAAACGCTGGTAGAGCGCAACAGGCTTTGGAGGCAAATGGATGCATTGCATGATACTAACACTCAGTAGCTGTGCAGCATCCAGAAAGGGCTGAGACCACTCTGAGCCTCAGCTTCTGTTAATGATGATAGCTTTACTGACTGAGTGCTGACGATGTCTCACACTGTCCTCTGCAAACACTTTCCTCCATTATTGTAATTACTTATCACTATAACCATATAGATATCATTATTCCCATATTACAGATGAGGAATCGGAAGCACAGGGAGGCTAAGAAAATTGCCCCAGGTCAACAGTTAGGAAGGGATGGAGCCAGGATGCAAAGCCAGGGCACCTGAATAATCGCCAGCAGAAGATCTGGTACCACGCTTGGCTCCTGGCAGGAGTTCCATTAGAGATGGCTCTACTGCCCCCTTCCCAAATCCAAATTAGCTTCACGATTCACCCCTCCAGGGAACCTGTCTTCGATGTGGGATGCGTTCTAGAACAGGCTGGAATTTGCCTCTGGATTCTTAGTCCTGGGATGGCATTTGTTCGCAGTAGGCACAGCCTGGGCCTCAGTCCCTGGGGAGCAGTCCTGGGTGGGGGCACCATGAGCACTAGAGTGAGGGTGGAGTTGTAGACCCTGCCCTGGGTCTGGCGGGGTGACGTCAGGGTAGTTACTCCATCCCTTTCCTCATCTGTAAACTGGGGAATGGACTAGACAAGAGTGGGCTCAAGGATCCAGTCTCTCCTGGCTCTGAACTCCTAGGAAGACACGAGATGCCCACAGCCCTTTCCTGGGTTATGACTCACAGCCCAGATCTCCCTTCCCCACTATCTCGGAGGCCGGGACCCTACGTAACAAAAACTTACCTGCCCCCTCTTTCGTCAGCCCTCTGAACTCTAGTGTGTGTGCACCCTGCCGTGAACCCCGCAGCCCGCCCGCCCACACGCCACAGTTTACCAAGTAGGCAGCCGCCCGCTGGGCACAGCCTCCCGTTTCTAAGCCCTAGGAGTAGCTGAGGACCACACAGGGGAGGGTGAGAGAGAGCAGAGCGAGAAACCAAGGCCTGAACCCCAAAGAAGGTGGAGGTTGAGAGGTCAGGAAGCAAAAGGTCAAATGCTGCTGAGAGGTTGAGTACAATGAGAAGAGAGAAGTGGCTGCTGGATCTGTCCCCATGAAGGATGTCGGTGATTGACAGCATCGCTGTGGATGGGATGGAGGAGGAGCTACGCTGGAGCGGGCAGAAGAGAGCCAAGTGCAGACACAGAGCCTGTGTGCCAGTCTTTAGAGTTTGGCAGAAAGGGAGGAACAAGAGCATCATTCCTGTTCGCCTGTCTCACAGTGTTAAGGGGGAAGGCACTCAGGAGGTTTGCATGCAAACACCTAGCAATTAGAAAGAGAATTACTTTCCAAGTGAGGGGGGCCTTGAGAAAATTCTTGAACAGAATCTGTGATTCAATGCCCTGTGGTCGCCTTGGAAGGGCAAGAGTCACTTCCTCCTTTGTATTAGGCTGAGCCAAAGAATCGGCCGATATTCTACCATTTGGGGTCAACAAAAACAGTCATTTTTCTGGTTCAACCTGACAATAGAGGGAAGAATGAGATGGTTGTAGACACAAGTAGATACAAGCTTTGTGATGTGAAGATGGCAGCGTTCACGTCTGATGCCTTACATTTCCTCAAACTCTATGAGATGACGTTGTCCTCGGAGAGCGAGGGTGGAGAGAGGAATGAGGGGTCTGAGGGAAAAGGACGTTCTTAGGGTGTGAAACGGAAGTGGGGATTTCTCCCTCCTAGGAGGCTGGGAGGTGAGATTTGGCACAGGAGGCACCTGGCACACCGCACGAACAGACACGTGCTCAGGTGTGCGCCGCCAGCACCCTCTAGCCAGGTCACTGCAGGAGGGGCTTACCCTGCCCACTTCCACGAGGTTCGTGACCATGACGATGCTGGCCGAGTTCTCCTGCCAGATCATTCTCCAGAAGTCCTTTACAGTCTCCTGCATCGGACCTGCCAACAGAGAAGGTGACGACAGGGTCAAAGGTCACAAGTGTCAGGAAGCAGCCAGGAGGCCGACCCCTTCTGGCTGCTCAGCCCTGACTCCACATGGGTGAGTGACAGCGAGGCCAGAGAATCCTCGCAGGGGCACCCAAGTAGCTGGGACTGGGGCCTGAGGCGTGGGAGGTTAGAGCATGGATAAGAAACCCACATTCCAAGCAGGCAAGGTCTGTGGCTCCCCCTGGGAGTGCTACCAGCTTCTCTCCTCCTCCCTCGCTCATCCTCCTGCTCAGCCCCTTTCCACCAGCCCCTGACCCTGACCCATCACCTTATCTAACTATGGGTTAATAATAGAGCTCAGTGGAGTTTTCCTAAAAATTGGGCTCCAGACCTCAATGAGACAGAAGGACACTGGGGTAGAGGGGCGGTGCTGGGAGCCAGATGCTGAGAGCACAAAGAGAAGATGCCAACTGTGAGTGTTGGTCTGAAGCTCATACAGAAGGGGGAAGTAGACAAGGAGTGAGAGACAGGAGGGAGAATCCAAAGCCATTTCCTTGGAAATCTTCCTTCAACATTCTGGGCTTTCATTGTTTTTAAAATTACAAGACCAATATATGTATTTGATATAAAAATTTGAGTGAGACACACACACACACATACACACACACACACACTAGAGGCCCAGTGTACAAAGTCCATGCACTGGTAGGGTCCCTAGCGGCTGCTGGCCAGGGCCTCCCTCCCTTCCCCCGGCCACCTGCCAGCGCCAGGGCCTCCCTGCCTTCCCCTGGCCAGCCCGCCCCCTGGTCCAACTCCCAGAAGAACTCCAGTCGAGGGGACAATTTGCATACCACACTTTTATTATATAGGATTCTTAATATATTCCAAGCATTGCTTAGTTTTTGGAATATAACCAGATACTTGAATAAAGGTTTTTAATCCATAAGCCTGACATGTGTTAGACTTTACCTAGCCCACATTGAATCCTAGCTGGTTTGGTTCAGTGGATAGAGTGTCAGCCTGTGGACCAAAGGGTTCTGGGTTCGATTCTGGTCAAGGGCACATACCTCAGTTGCAGACTCCACCTTGGCTTGAGCCCTGGTTGGAGCACGTGCAGGAGGCAACTAATCGATATGTTTCTCTTACACCAATATTTCTTTTTTTTTTTTATTAAATCTTTATTGTTCAGATTACATTTGTTCCTCTTTTTTTTTCCCCCCCCATAACTCCCCTCCTCCCAGTTCCCGCCCCACCCTCGGCCCTCACTCCTCACCCACTGTCCTCATCCATAGGTGCACGATTTTTGTCCAGTCTCTTCCCGCATCTCCCATTTCCCTTTCCCCCCCAAGAATAGTCAGTCCATTCCCTTTCTATGTCCCTGATTCATTATAATCACCAGTTCATTCTGTACATCAGATTATTTATTCACTTGATTCTTAGATTCACTTGTTGATAGATGCATGTTTGTTGTTCACAATTTGTATCTTTACCTTTTTCTTCTTCCTCCTCTTAAAGGATACCTTTCAGCATTTCATATAATACTGGTTTAGTGGTGATGAACTCCTTTAGCTTTTCCTTATCTGTGAAGCTCTTTATCTGACCTTCAATTCTGAATGATAGCTTTGCTGGATAAAGTAATCTTGGTTGTAGGTTCTTGCTATTCATCACTTTGAATATTTCTTGCCACTCCCTTCTGGCCTGCAAAGTTTCTGTTGAGAAATCAGCTGACAGTCGTATGGGTATTCCCTTGTAGGTAATTGAGTCTCTTTCTCTTGCTGCTTTTAAGATTCTCTCTTTGTCTTTTGCTCTTGGCATTTTAATTATGATATGTCTTGGTGTGGTCCTCTTTGGATTCCTTTTGTTTGGGGTTCTCTGCGCTTCCTGGACTTGTAAGTCTATTTCTTTCACCAGGTAGGGGAAGTTTTCTGTCATTATTTCTTCAAATAGGTTTTCAATATCTTGCTCTCTCTCTTCTTCTGGCACCCCTATAATTCGGATGTTGGTACGCTTGAAGCTGTCCCAGAGGCTCCTTACACTATCTTCGTATTTTCGGATTCTTTTTTCATTTTGCTTTTCCGGTTGGGTGTTTTTTGCTAAGACAGCATCTCGCAGAGGCTGCCTGGCCGTTCTGCACACCCTGCTCCTTAGGGAGGGAGAGGGCAGTGGTGTGTCCTGGGCAGGCAGAGAATGGATTCTAGCTGTGTAACCTTCAGCAAGGCTCTTAACCTCAGCCCTGGCTGCTTTCCTCCTGGCCTACAGAATGCATTGCAATGACAGAGTAAAAAAAAAACACGTATGAATTATGGAGTCTGCTGGTGGAGAGGCTGTTGACAGTCCTGAAAACCACTTTCCCTTACGGATAACCATCTCAGGAGATGATGAGTCCTACAGTTTGATGAACACCTATTTCTGTCTTAAGCTTTGGTGGTCAGACTTTCTGTCCTGCTGAGGAGGAGGAGCTGCCTCAAGACCGCCTTCTTCAGGACTGAGCCAGACTTGGCATCTGTGTGGCTTATGGTGAAATAGACGTGGCATCTTTGAGGTTCTAGATCTGCTTTCTGATTCAAAGACTAGTTTCTGATTCCTCCCCATTTCTCTACCTGTCTTCTACCTGCTCCATAAATATTTACCTAGGGCCTTCTAATCGCTGGTAATGCTTGGGTTGACCGTCAGTACAACCCAAGGCCAATGTCATGACCAGAACTGTGGGACTGACCACCAGTAATCACAGCCCCTTCCTAAGTCTGTGTTCGAGTGGGACTATCTTCTTAGCAAGGCTGTCAGCTTTTTGAGGACAAACACTGCCTCCTAAGTGAAAAAAAGAATCCCATAGAGCCCAGTACAGCGTGAAACTCAGAGCAATGCCCAATAAACAAGCTACTGAGAGGACAGCGAGGAGGTAGCATAGCATTGTGATTATACACACAGACCCTGGACCTAACTGCCTGGGTTTGAATCCTGGCTGTGTCTCTTCCACGCTGTGTGGTCTGGGGCAAGTTACTTAGCCTCCTTGGGCCTCAGCTGATTTTTTTGCTGTTCAATGGGGATAATAGTATTTACATTATAGTGTTGCTGTTAGAATGAAATGACTTAATAGACAACAGTTCCTCTGTGCCAGGCACTATTCTAAGATTTAACATAGAGGTCTTTGTTACTGTTGTTATTTTATGGTTTATGTGCAAACATTTATCGAGTGTCTATCACAACTAAAAGTCAGTGTTGGCCCCTAGGGAGGCCCTGAGCTGGTAAGCCCTCCTCCCCTCCCCTCTGTTCTGCTCTGCCTATTAATGCAGGAACTGGGCTCGTCTTGGGATATGAGAGGTAAGAAGGCAGGTGACAGGTACAAAGAGCTATCTGTCCTTCCAAGTCAAGGTGGACAGAGTTTCCCAGGCTCACAGGGAGAACTAGACTCTAGGAGTGTTCTTGAGTAGGTTTGGGAATGAAAAATAGTACCTGAGAGTGTGGAAAGATGTGGTTTCTCAGTCTACCCTCTTCTTACTTCTTATAGTCCTCATCCTCCCTGACCTGAGCCATGGCACCAGCCTCTTGCTGGCCTCCCTGCCTCCAGTCTGGCCCCACAGCCCATCTGCTTCCCACCAGAGTGAATTCCCAACGCGCATCTGATTACATTACTTCCCACAGAAAAGCGGCAGTGGCTCCCACTGCCTGCACAGTAATGTCCAAATGCCTTTGCCCAGGACTAGTCATCCGTCTCCATCCTCGTCCCCAGCCTCACTTCCTCTTTGCCCCTCTCTGTCCCCTTCCACAGCCCCACGTGCCTGTGTCCCAGCTTCCCACACTGCACTTCAAATGAGACCTCCCGCCTCCTGAGAGGCCCTGCAGGGCTCTGTATGTGCCCAGTTACCACACTCCCAACATGCACTGTGTTATGCTTTCTTTGCTCCGCCCCACCCCTCCACCCCCCACCTCCCCGGGCCATGGGACAGGTCACCAGAGCCGGGTGCAGTTTCAGCCAAGGCTGGTTGGTGGCATCCAGGCATGAATGTGTCTCTGAGGTGAGGCTGGGTCACTCTACTGAATGCACCAGCCAGAAGACAAAAGACCCCGTGGAGGAAACTGACTTGGAAGACCTGATGCGCTGAAAGTCGATGGGATAAATTCTGAGCAAGAAATTCACGTTTTCATTGTGGAGTTAGGTGACTTGGGTTCCCTAGTTTGTTCACTCATTTGTCCTCTCGGTCATTCGATATTCAGTCAACAGGTGTTAACTGAGCACCTACTACCATGGACAAGGCCCTGGAAATACAAAAGTGAGCAGATGGAGGCGGGCTCTGCTTCTGAGCAGCGTACAGGCAGCAACAAACTGGGGTAGGGAAGGAGTGGGGCTTGTGGAGTTCCCATGGGAAACTGACTCAGCTGAGAAGGCAGGGAAGCGTCCTCTGAGGCGGCCTGGTAAGCCGAGCTTGGGCATCTCAGCATCACTGCTATTTCCGTTTCATCCCCGTAGCCATACCCCCAGTTTTCCTGCCGCTGCCCCTGGGCTCACTGGCTGTCTTGCTCTTCTTCAGAAACAATCACGTTTCTATCTGGAGGCCTTAGCAATGGCCATGCCCTGTGCCTGCTGTGTCTGTCCCCAAATAGCCGAGCACTTGCTCTCTCCCTCACCCAGGCTTCTGCTGGCTGCCCGTCACCTCCCCAGAGAAGCCCTCCCTGCCCATCCTGTCAGCCTCTTTCTGCTGTCTCTACTTTCCTTCTTTTCAGAGCACGTATCACCACACGGCACAATGTTCTGTGTTTATTGACATGCCTATTGTCTGTTTCCCCCGTGGAATGAGAGCGCCAATGGGCAGGGCTGTGTCCGGCTTGCTCACGGCTGTGCCAGCCCAGAGAGCCTTTCTGGGCCACCAGCCTTGATAAATGCACAGTGAGTGCGTGCCTTCCCATGCTGCGTGTGAGCAGAGAGATGCTGCCTGGCCTCCAAGAACCCATACGGTCCCAGAGAGAAAACATTCTAACCACGAGCGAGACTCCAGCAGTGCTGATGAAAGGAA